CTAATTTCTACGAACATAGTTCTTCAAAATTGGTCGCTATTAAATGACGATATTGATTGTTAACCATTCCTGTATCAAGGAATTCTACGTTACCTTCTGACATCGTCTCGAGTAATAATTAAGAAATAATTAACGCGAAACAAAACCTCTCCCGCTGCGAAACAGGAAGGTAGGGGAAGGTTCATTCTACAATTTTTAATTGCATAGGTAAACAATTTGTTTCTAGTAGTACAGTTGATAATGGATTAGCCGCTGATTACGTAGAGTTCTTCTCCACTGACATGTCGCGTTTAGTTTGTAGCTGTTGCCGCTAGATGGCGCATTTTCGATTACCTCCTTAGTCCTGATGCTTCGCGCGTACGTACCAGGAATCGATGAGATGCTTTTTCAAGGAGGTGTCTCATGAGAGTAATTGTTTGTCCTTGTCGCACGGTATGATTGTCCTTGTCTTACACATCACAGGTATAGGGATTAGCTAAGGAATTATTGACCGCTAGATGACGCCACCAAACGTCCTTCTTACCGACGCAGTGAACTCACTAGATAATCGTTAAATACTTATTAATTACTGTTCGAATGTGGTTCCAAATGCTACTGAATATGTGTAGATGTCTAACTTAATATCTACGATCATAAACGTTCTCAATTTGTGCCTATTATGTCAAGAACTTGATTGTTTACTGGGCACCTGTAAAAATTCTACTTTATCTTCTTACATCTTGTCGGTAAATAATTAATAAATAATAAACGCGGTGCAAAATTCCTTCAGTGGTGCATGAGAAAGTAGGGAAAGGTCCATTCTACAATCTCACATTGAAAGGTTATCAATTGATTCGTATTAGTTTTGTTGGTAATGACTCAGCTGCTGATTTCGTAGTTTACTTCTCTATCGATATGTATCGTTTAGTTGTTAGCTGTCGCCGCTAGATGGCGCACTTTCGGATACCTCCTTAGCCCTGATGCTTCGCGCGTACGTACCAGGAACCGATGAGATGCTTTTTGAAAAAGGTAACACGAGAGAGTATTTGTCTGTCCTTGTCGCACAGTATTTCCGTCCTTGTCTTGCACATTACTGGTATAGGGAGAAGCTTCGAAAATTCTCGCCCGCTAGATGGCGCCGCCAATCGCTATTCCTACCGACGCAGCGAACCCACCAGGTAATCGATAATAACTTATTAATTACTACTCGAATGTGCTTTAAAATTTTATTGAGTAGTCTGTAAAGTATAGCCTAATCTGTACGAACATGGTTGTTCACAATTTGTCCCTATCAAGTGAAGAAATTGATTGTTAACCGTTCTTGTATCTAGGAATTCTACATTTCCTTCTGACATCGTCTCGGATAATAATTAAGAAATAATTAACGCGACACAAAACCTCTTCCGCTGCGAAACAGGAAGGTAGGGGAAGGTTCATTCTGCAATCGTACATTGCAAAGGTAAACAATTTGTTCGTAATAGTATAGTTGATAATGAATTAGCTGCTGATTTCATAGTTTTCTGCTCTATCAACATGTCGCATTTAGTTGTTAGCTGTCGCCGATAGATGACGCGCTTTCGAATACCTCTTTAGTCCTGATGGTTCACGCGTACGTACCAGGGACTGATGAGATGCTTTTTCGAAGGAGTTTATCGACTTACGCAATTGGTACTTTCGGAACTATCTTATCGATGCCGCGGTGATACTTGGGTAGCCAACTTATCAACTACGCGACGGTACTTGAGTGACTCTGACTATCGACTACGCAAACGTCTACATACGAAATATATATAAAACCGAAGGATCAGGGAAAATTCTAGGCGTGTAACGTGATATGCATAGTATTTTATTTGTTACTTCGCCTTCCATGAGAAAAAAGAATGTCACCCCTTGAACCGAAAAATTGCTGCACATTTTCATGGAATCCAATAAAGCATCTTTATTAGAAATTCAATCAGGAATATTAAGTTACAGTCATGTTTTGTTTGAAATGCAGTTTTAATGCAACTTGTTTAGCACATTTGTTAGTATTTGTCATATTTGTTTCTTCTTTTAGATTAAGTTTATTCTTTCCCTCGATATTTTATAATACCAAGCAAATACTTTCGTTGATTTATAAATAATTACAATCGAAAAGTGAAGTATCGGAAGAAAAATGAAAAAAGAAAAAGAAAAAAGAAAAAAGAAAAAAGAAAGAAGAAAGAAGAGTGAAAGAAGAATGAAAGAAGAAAACGTATTATGGAAGTTACTTAAAAGAAACGCATCGCGCAAAGATGTTTAATATATTTCATTTTTCCTACAATTTTCAACTACATTGACACGACTGTTCTGAATTGCAACTTACATACACGGTGCTATGTTTTAACCAGTGTTTTTCTTTCGCCTTCTTTTATTTGCGTAATTTGACAGAAATAAATATCTATCGACTATGGAACTCCAAACCAAATTGCGTTCAGATCCAAAATCTTTGGACTTTTTACACACAACAGATAGGTATTTTCTAACTACGCGACTCCCGAAAGTCCTTTCGGCTTAATCATCATCGTGGCTCGCTTCAACGTGTAATCCCAGCCCCTCCAACGAAACCAGACGATACCTTGACGAGCAGTCAAATCTTGCGGATCGTTCAAATATAACCCATTTAATCCGCGTCCGCACGATTTCCACCACCATCCTCCTTTTAACATGGATGCGCAGTTCAACGACGACCTATCATTGTCCCTATACAAACAACCATCGAAAAATATCATGCGTTCGATTATGCCAATTTGTAGGAAAGAACGATGCAAAGCATTCGTTAGTTTACCTGTTGTACGTTGAGAACGGACTATTGTTGGACCCGTACCAAGGATCGTTCAAAGAATCACCCGCATTTCCATCGTAGCCATCGATCTCCAGCTTGTAATACTCGGCTTCCGAATAAATTTTGAAATGAGAATATTGCGCGTACCTGAAGGGGAAGAGAGGAGCCAGTTATTTCTGAATATCGAGCACCAGTCTCGCTATGTCCACTCTGTACCGTTTATTTCCTTCAAAATCTTCCAATTCCACTCTGAGCGTGTAATCTTCGTTGTTCGTCAACATGTATATGTTTTCATTGCCAAGCCAAAATTCTCTAGCCGGATCGCCGAATCCATTTTTATAGTCGGCCCAATCACGATTGAAATTTTCTCTAGGTTCACCGAAATCGTCTCTCCTCTGAATAACCTACATGCGATAGGACTGTTTTAGCGATGGCTTCGTTTTCTGATAAATTAAAGACACGCTTATATACGCTACATAGATGTAGCGTTGTCACGCTACCGAGCACCTATCTGGCATTAAATGTTTCACAGATGAGTCGAAGGTGAAAGAAATTGATGTCTAAAATGTAGAAGGACACGAAAGGAGACTCGACAAACGATTCGTCTTACCGTCCAACCCCCGTCGGCGATGTCCTGTTCGCAATACACTTTCAAGAACCAGTACGTGGTACCGCGTATTTGAAGATAATAGACTCCGCTATCTCTCATACCTGCGTTCAACAGATCAACGCACGAGTAACCCTGCAACAATATATCGCGCATCATGATTTCTAGTCAAACACTTTGCAAACGAAATCTTATTTTTCGAATCGACTTCCGAATAGAACCTATCATTATTCGCGCGAGGGGAACTCGGCAACTCGAGTTTAACATGGACATATAGAGGCAAAGTCAAAATGAATATTCCGTAAGGAAAGGTGTACGTTGTTGCTGCACGACCGCGCGACAGTGACGGAGAAGAAAGAAATATCGGCACGCAATTGCCGTGTTGTAGCGGGGCGAGAGCTGCAAATAGGCCTAACCAAGCAAGTATTACACATGCTTTTCGATGCAACGATTTTCGATTATTCGACACGAGCGTTCTCCATCGGGATAAACGAGTAAATCCAGTGTAGCGACTTTCACGTCACGGCTAAAAGTTGTCGAGACGCGCGCGACTACGAGCAGCGACTATAGGTCGTGCCTACGTTTAAATGAAACGTCCATAACCGTAATCGGTTCGTTGCATAATCGATTTTCAAGCATGAGGTTCACCTTCCTCGTCGACACTCGCGTATTTCCATACGTCGTCCCTCCGGAGGTATCGCATCTCGTTGCTCGAATGGGGAAAACTCTTTGGAATCGACGTGAAATTGGTGTTGGCGGGTCGAAGCGAGGACTAAGGCATTCGAAAGGTTTACCTTAACATCCTTGTAACTGAGAAACGCATCCGTGGCAAAGGTCGAGTTCGCTGGACTAGGTTTATTTTTCACGCTTGGAAATATCACGCCACGATTTTTAGCGGAAGACCTTTGCGCGGTCGACGTGCTGCTAGTCGGTATCCCCGAGGACGCGGTCGAATTCGAAGAATTATTCGAACCACCGACGCTGTTGATGGAGCTGTTGAAATGATTGGACGGCACGATGTTGGACGAAGTCGAGGAAGACGTCGACACGGACACCGATGAGATGACGGTGGTTGGCGTCACCGGAGAAATAGTTGTCTCTGGCGCGAGGTCCTCGGACAGTCCGACGTACCTGAAGAAATATAACGATGGTATGTATAGTTGGTGCCGAGGAAACAACGAAAAGGAACGAACCTGCTGGAATCGTATTCGACGAGTCGATCGATCGTGGGATCGAGCAACAGTTCTGCTGGAATCGGACGTTGAGCGAGAGTAGCGACATCGTCTTCTTGCTTCCTCAATCTGTTCTCAACGCCTTCCAAGTTTTCGATGATCTTGTTCGTTTTCGAGCGCAAATCGGCGTGAATTTCGCTTATCGCTCTCTCTTGCCTTTGCGTCTGCGTTAGCAGCTCGTCCGACTTGGGCAACAGATCGTCCACGGAACTTTTCGTGCCAACCTGTTTAAACGTTCACGGATACGCGATCAGGCAAATAATTCAACGCGCAACTTTCGATTTCTAACGTTACGTCAATGATTGTTCAAAGTGCTAAAATACGACTAGTCTGAATTCGAGTAGGTTTTGCTTCGAACCGCGATTACAAGTACGACATGCAAGAAAAAGACGTTCCTCTAGATAGTACGAGTATATAGAAGATGCAAGTGCACCGGGCAACGAAACGACGCGATAAAAGCGATCGTATCGACGTTAGAATAACGGAGGCTTATATCGTCTAACTTGGTTTCTCGCGGTCGATCATTGAAGAGAAACGTGAGTATCGAAACAAAATTCACTGCTGTCTAATCTGGAACTCGATCGATTCGATGTTCGATTTGTCGGCTTACCACGACGTTCCAAACTTCGTCCATCTTTTCGGATACGGTCAACATAGGATACATCTGTTCGACGAGTCGATCGATCTTACTTTGCTTCGATGACGGTGTTTCCGTTGTCGTTGTTGTCGTTGTTGCTGTTGCTGTTGCTGTGGCTGTTGCCGTTGTTGCTGTAGCGTTCAGAATTCGTTGATCATTTGCATTTCCCCTCACTATTATTGCATCGTGCACATCTGTCATCATATTGTAAACACCTTCCAACTGTTCGGAAACCAAATTCATGTGGAACTGTAATTTCCTGTCCATATTACCAGTGGTCTGCCTGAGATTGTCTATCTCGATCGTTATATGATTAATCACTTCGTTACTCATCGCTTTCGTTATTTCGATCATGTTCATGCTAACGGGTTTCTTCTCACTCGCTTCTGCATTTATATCGTCGTTTTGTAAAAGATTGTTGTCTAGTTGGTTCTTTAAATCGATCAGTTTATTGTCGATATCGGAGACTTTTTGGTCGAGCGATAATAATTTCTCGCCCAAAGCTTCGGACGATGATGAATCTCGATGATTTTTTTCCGCCGTACGAACTATTGCGTGAAAGAAATGCGAATTAGAAAGAGATAGGATTAGCGAGAGATAGAGAGGTCCGTTGTATCGAACGTATCCGTTGGTTGGAGCCAACTCCCGACAAAGAATCGCAACCTGGACATTTTCAATTGCCTCCCGTTGGTTCGCATGCACGAATATGCAACAAGACAACGCGAGACAAATGTGTTGCTCTTCTGATCGGAGAATTCGCAAACCATCGACACCATCGGTTCTTTATTCTCGGCAACTTAATAGTACTCGCGAGACGATGAATTTGAATCGAGGTAATTTCTTATTGCAACTCGCATACGTACCTTCTCTAGTTTCACTGTCGCTTTTATTGTTGGACGTTCTAGCAGAATAAATAGCATGATCGGCTGGTACAAATGTCGCTTGAGAATTAAACAATTTCAAATCCAACGTTCGAAGCTTCGTAATGACAGCATCGGTTTTATCTATATTATCGTTGACACGTGAATCTAGAGCTTCCACTCTTCTCATTAGGTGTTCCACTGCCTTATCCAGATTTTCGATTCGTTGTAATTTCGATTCCAGAGTCGAAACTATCACCTCGAAAACATTGAATAGGTATTGTTCTCTGAAAATAGGATTTTAAACGAAACTTGAATCAAATCGATTGCTCTTGGTTAAAAAGGTATGTATTTCTATGATATGTTAA